GAATTATGATTTTTCTACTGTTTTATCGATTTGGATAAGACATAGAAAAAAAGACAAAGAAAAAAAGAAAATTTGTATGTTGATAGATTTGAAAACTTCAAGATAACAAAATAGCTAATACTGAACTGAAAATTCACAAAAAAGAAAACTATCAAAAAGGAAATTAAGGGTTAGAACAGGATCATACAGTTATCAGGTTCAGAAATTTAAATTCTGAAGATTCTTAGTAACAAAAGTTTTTTGGTGTTAAATTTTCTTTGGATTAGTGAACGATCGTTGAAATGATAGTTTTCCACCTTAAATTTAACCTTTGAGTAAAATTTTGTTCAAAATTGATTCAAATGAAAGATGGTAGATCAAACAGAAACCAAGAAATCTTAAATTGAGATAAAAACTCAATTGAAATCTTTACGAATTTTCGGATTATTTTGCTGAAATTTAGGATACAAATTATATCTTAAGAAAAATCCAACAATCAAGTACTGGTAATTATGGGTAATTCAATTGAAAGGTTGATATCATTTGATGAAAAAAACTCAGAACAATGACAGAATTAGCAAAGCGAAAATGAGAAATTGAAAGTATGAATTGCAATACAGTCTTTTTCTTAAGGAAAAAAATAATTTTTTAAATTCAAAAGGATATTCAGGGAAAACTTGAATAGATGACAAAATGGATGAATAGAACTTACTATTAGATGATGATTGAATGGGTGGAGGTAGACTCTAGATGGTTGCTGGTAATAAGTATGAACTGGGACTAATTTAACGGAATGAGTAAAAGATAGAATAGATCTTATATTAGAAAAGGTTTCATCAAATATATTTGTATAACAGATTCTTTAATTTTAACTTCAATTATTGAAAATGATTGAAATTTAACTCAACTTGAGCTTAAATCTCGTAAACTTGCTGAAACCTTCTTTATTCTTCCATGGAAACGACAAATAAAATTAAGTATTTGCCAAAAATACTCAATGATTTAAAGTATTTTCTGAGAAACAACAAAAGTTCAATTTTGTGAGGTAATATTTTCAAAAACTTAAAATTATAAAAGAATCATTTTCAAATATTTTAGTTGTAAGAGAAATTTACCCCATCTGTTACAAAACTAATTTCTTTTGCTTCAGAAAACAAAAGAGTCATTTCGGAATTTTTTTTCTCTTTTTGAAAATTTGTTTATTGTCGGTAATCGGCATCCCCACTCAACACGGGGGATAAAATGTGGTGTTGTCGAACTGAATTTTGATAAAAATAAATTTCAGTATGTTTTCCTTGAAAATTTGTTTACGGTCGGTAGTCGCCGTCCCCATCACCGCGGGGGTAACATCTGGTGTTGTCGAATTTTAATAAAAAGAAATTTCGAGTTTTTTAAGTGTGAAAAGTTGTTTAAGGTCGGTAATTGGCGTCCACACTCACCGCGGGGGGTCAACATCTGGTGTTTGTCATAAATGTCACATATTTGTCTGAGAAATATTTGAACAGCTCAAAAAAAACATGTCTTAGTTTTTGTTAAAAAAATTTAAACCAATCAAAACGGTCTTGACGTTTTACCCAAGGGTTTACTCCGACTATACTACTAATACGCCTGGGATAATAATGGGTTCGACACGCCTGGACACAAACTCCTGGGTTCGAAACTGTTAGGAACTGTTTTTTCAAACGGGAAATTTTCTGTTTCAAAAAATTATCGGCTTTTTATTTGTCTGCAAAAATATGACCAATATCGCTACTGGGAAAAACTGAATGAGTAAAACTTTGAGTCTACAAAGTTTCTTTAGTGACGCACGCCAATTATGAGTCTCCATAGTTACTAAGTGACACAAGCCAATTATGGCGCATTATCAGCACCAGTCAACATGAAATTATCAGCACCAGTCAACATGAAAAAAACACCAGTCAACATTATCAGCACCTAAACATGCCTCAATTTATAGAGCGGACACATTTTAACTAGTATACGAAAAAATTCATGAAAAACATCCGAACCTGCACAGGTTCAATCCCTCTTAATTTGTTACGGCTCTCCTTCCCTACCTCAACGCTACAGATCCACGATTCCTGAAGCTATATTTGTAATATAACAGCCTGTGTTAATTAATTTAGCATTGGCTGTACTTAATAGCGGGTTATTAATCAAAATGAACATTTTCAAAATGAACACATTTTGTGGCAAAAATATTTGCGTCGCAACAAAATTTCTGTTGTAAAGGTTGTAAAAAAGAGAGTTCATTCTATAACAAGCTTTGCTTCTGTAATGAAGCCAGTAAATTAGGGAAAGATATTATCGATATGTTCAAAGAAGCTTATTGAACATAAAAATAAGTTGTGACAACTAAGTCATGGTTATGGAAAAACTCGAGACGTTCGCTTTTTTGAATTAACCTAAATATATGCAAGGCATCAATGCTCAAACCTCAAAAAAGGATTTAGATTTGAGTATCCAATTGACATGAAAAGAAAACAGACTCCCTCTGTAAGTTATCAACACAGAAGCGAAGCGGAGCTTCGCACCACTTGCGATACAATATACAAATAGCAGTGCAAGCTAGCAGACAGAAAAAGAAAGCCACTAAATCCAAAAAATTGAAAGAAGAACATCAAAAACCACTACTTCAAAAAATTCAAACAGCTGTCTGGAATCATATTCTCTTTGCAGAAAATACATCCAGAATCATAAACGACGGCAGTAATGATCATTCAAAAATAACTGACAGCGGCAATTGAGCAGACGAATTTCAAAGAGTTTCCCGTAGAACAGAAAATATAATTTTTTCATGAAAAAATTTGAACAATAAATTCTATTCTAGGAATTAATGAACACTCAAAAAGTAATTAACAAGCGGTATAGGAGCCGACGAATCTAAATAGTTTCCCGTAAAACCGAAATATAATTTTTTCATTAAATACTTAACAATAAATTCTATTCTAGGAATTTCAGCATTTTGTGCGATCCGGAATGAGGCATAACACTTATGCTTCCCTTGAAATTACCCCCAAATTAGGTCACTAAGCCGAAACCAATTAAGCCGAATTTTAAGCGAAAAAAAAACAAAAACAGGAAAATATAAGAAGTCAAGGCAAGTAAAAAAAATATTGCGGGAGTAATTAAAACACTTAACGCAACTACACTGAAAATTGCGTACGAAAAAACGAATTCTACGATGTGGCAACTAGGCCAACAAAACAAGCAGACAACCTATATGCCGACGTTTTTTTTTATCAGATTCGAACCCACGACCTAGGGCGTCCCAGGCGTATTTTTCACCTCCCGGCTAAGAGTCGGACACGCATTGAAGTTTGAATTCATTATGAACTAAGATACGAGTGATTCTGCTAAATTGTTAATCCGAAAAAGTAATCAATTTAAAAGCCTATCGTTCCAACGACACACCCTCCTTGCGCTAGATTACATATTCTTAACATCTAGTTTTAGTTTTAATTTGACTACTGCACGAAATTGGTAGTAACTATGCCGTAACGTGCGTTTTTTAGCCCCTTTTTAAGCACCTAAAAGACCTCTATTAGAAGTTGAAGTTTGGCATCACAGTCTATTCAGTCTTAATTCGGATTCTTAAAGGATAATTCAAAATGTAAAATCAATCTGGGGGCTTTGTTTTGCGGACGAATTTATAGCAGTAATCGTATTAATTGACTTATCTCAGATTCCCATCAAACGGATTTTAATATTCTTTTATTTTCCTTTTATTTTAGTTTCTCTTTACTAACCCAAACTTGAAGCATCTTTTTGTACCAAGCAATCTCCTACCCTAAAAGCGTTTTAGGGGGAATATGATTTTCTTCGCGGTTCTGAGATGCAATTTACAGCCAAACATTTTGAGTTTTTAGTAGCAACAGGAAAAAACAATCATTTTAATTAAATAGTGGTGTGCAGAACCTTGACGTGTTCTATTTAGGGAAAGGATGTTAGCTTGCTATTCGATTTCAATCCCTCTCGAGACCCAAGAATCGTGGCTAAATTAGAAACTTTGAAATTAGAAAAATGAAAAAATATCGTGTTGAATTCGCCCAATTCTTTTGCCAATTTTGAAGTCTCAAAATACGCTCTTACTAATTGGAATCCTCAGGGACAAATTTCAATTCCTTTTTATTTGGTTTAAATTTTCTTGAGAGTGTACTGAACATTCAAAAGCGGTAAGCCCCCTAACTAATTAAGGGTTCTCAGAGATAAAAGAGCTTCAAAAAGGTCGGAAATAATCTGCCACACTGAAAATACTTCTTCTCAAATCACCAGCTGGCACCAATTAAACTAAGCAAACCGAAGGAAAATAAATCGACATTTCATGAATCAAAGGGAACTTGAAATACGTTTCCACCTGAGATTAAACTTGAAACTCAACTAGAGCAAATCAATTAACCAAACGAAATAACCCCGTTAAATGAAACGCTGACTGTCGCTTTCATAGCTTGTCTTCATTAACTAGTTCAGAAGCTACTTCAACAAATCAACAATCAAATTTAATCACGAACACGCTACTCAAATCGGTCAGAGAAAACAAGCGACCTATCTTTTTGGTGGACCAAAATTTTTGGCGAACAAAGTTTTCTGCGCCGCAGGCAAATTTTTCGGCACGCGTTCCCTCTCAAAATAAGTATATATTGGCGTCAAAGGCGGCTTTAGAAAAAACTTACGACCAGTCAGCAACTTTTTTGGGTCAAAATAAATTTCTTAAAAGACAATTGTTAGGATTCACTTGAAGTAAGCAGCATTTTTGAAAAAGCGACCTTAGAAAAAATAAGTGAACAAAAAAGGGCCAAAAGTGACCAGTTTGAGCAGCTTGATGATGAAACAAGCATCTTGCTGGGATTTTGTTCTGGTGATTTCACTTCATTTTTTCTTTTCAGCTCGCGGACTCTCGTACTAAATCGCGTAATCTGCTACTAAAAAACCGATACTGATATATTGCAGAGATAGTTGATGGTGTGTGAGGATCCGCAATTAGCAAGTTTTTTCCTTTTGGGCTAATGAATCGAAAAAAATTAGGTTGCCATAAAATGTATCTGAGTTCATTAACTAGAGTTTTATCGTCGAATAAAAAAAGACAGAAGGTTTAATCTACCTTTTCTTATATAAACAAGGCTTAAGAGTTATTTCATTCAAAAATAAGGAGTCATTACTTTTGGCACCTTTCTGAAATTCAAAAAACACAAAGTAATCAAAACTCTTCTCGCAGACTAATTCGTAGCCGAAGTTGACCATAGAATCCACGAAAGGTTTCGTATCATTGATAGTTTTCTTTCTCTTTTTTGCCCTTTTGCTCTTCAATACAATTTCGAATCGACTTGACACTTCCGCCACTAAAAGTGTGCCTCCTTCTTTCAAAACGCCATTCGCGCTTCTCAAAAAATCAGTGAAGTTTGTTCCCATAAGCGATAAACAAAACACACAAACATCAACAGAGCAAGGCTCAAGTTTCATGTGCACTTTAGCAGCGTCGCAAATGATTACATGGTTGTTTAACTTCTGAAGGTCAAAACAGTAGACCTTCTGAGGCACCATTGAAGCCAAGAGTCCTTCACCGCAACCAATATCAGCGACAACTAGCAATTCACTTCTCTGCTTCAGAAGCTCAGCGATTACTTGCAAGGGCTTGACTGGCCATTTGCACACTTGGTTCTGGTATCCTTTGTGATATATTCTAAAGCAAACTAGAACATATAATTTAGCTTTTAACAATATCCGCTTCTGATACTTTTGTTAAGATATTTTCCCTTATTCCTTACCTGCCTGAGGAACTGATGATGATAAACTTTTTTGTTCAGGAAGCCTCCGCTTCTGTTATTTTTTCGTTCAAAAAGCCACAGATTTAGAAATTGAACACAAATATTGCGCACAGAAAAAAAGTTTATAGTGAGGATGAAAAGAAGGGCTGATTTTTATAAGAGTTCTGCCTGCGTAATTCTATTAAATTTACTCTCGGCATAGATCTCTAAACAGGCAAAACAAAGTGAAATTAGGAAAAGGTTAAAAAGACACCTTGAGAAACTTTTTTGCAAGGCTTGGGAAAAATACGTTCTCACATCTGCTTCATGACCGCTTGTAATTTTACTAACACTAGCCACCAATAAAGCAGCTGCAGTTGCCATTAAATTGCCAATGCGATGCACGAAAAACTCGACCAAAAAAACTAACTATTTCAATGTTCCGGATTTTGAACTCCTACCGGTTGATTAGGATCTCCACTTCCTCGAAATCGCGCCACGGACCTTGGAAGAAAAACTAGTTGCCCAGCTTATGCTAGATTCACATGTTTTAATATTTCGATCATATTTTGAACTGATACCGAAATGCGTAATTTTGAAAGATTCAAAAATGGACTTAACGCAAAGTCCCAGTAATTTTTCTGCTTAAGTAGTGGATTAGCTGCATATTTAAAGAAAAAAGAACTACTAATCGATCTTTCAACTGAATTCTTTATCTCAGATTTGGCTGGGTACTTTTCGAAAAAAAAATTGAAAAAGATTCCAAGATCAAAAATTGAAAAAGTTGACTTCCTAAAATCACAAAATTTTCTCTACTAAAGCATGGAAATAGTCTCGTATGCAGGGAAGACTTCAACACCCTGATATTTAGATTGAATCCTTAATATCGGCTTTAGCTAGTAGCTTTCGAGAACAGCGATGAAATTTCTTTAAAAAAAACGGTTAAAACTTCATAAAATGTCCATATCGGCTTTTCTACCAAACAAATAAGGCGAAACAGACTACGCAGGAAAAATCTAAGCACGATGTTAATTTGAATGAATTATCAACCTCAGAATCAGCAGGTGAGTTTCCAAAAAACGGGCAAGTTTCAAAAATTGTACATTTTCTAAGGCCATATATTTTTTCAAAACGCAGGGTATAGCCGCTTGCGCAGGGAAGATTCGCATACCACGTTTTTTTTTCCGGTTGAACTCTTATTCTCTGATTTGGCAGGGTAGTTCTTGAGAAAAGTCAAAAAAATTTGAAAATTAACCAAAATGTCAAAAACAAAAAATGGGCTTGTTTGAGGCCATAACTTTTTTCTTCCGAATTTAGGGAAAATCCGCTTGAGAAGGAGAGATCCCAATGATTAGTTTTTTAGTTTGGTTGAAAATTGGTTCAGTAGTTTTTGAGAAAAAAAATGAAATTTTTGCGAACAGTTCAAAAATTTTCCAAAGGGTAGCAAAAAAAAAATTAACAAATCCCATACATTTTCATAACAACTGTTGTTTTGAAATAGGACCTAACACTAGCCAAAAACAAACCAGCACTATATGCTATTAAATTACCTATGCTTAAATACGCTTAAATATGATGAATTGAAATATTCCAAAAGTGCCACTATGAGCACTTTTATTTGCGACTTAGGTTGGAAAAAAAAGAAAGTTCTTAATAATACACTTCGCTTCGCTTGTGTAATCAGATTACTTTCTCTCCAAATTGCCTACTTACTGAAAGGCAGTGGGGTCCATCTTCAGCATTTGTATTGCACTGCGACTATCACTAGTATAGAATTTCTCGTTTATTATTCGGAACATCGAAGATTCCAACTTGTTTCCGAACGAATTTTCCTTGAAGGTATTGTTTTCAGAAGAGAATGTTGGATGAGCTTCTAATTCAGTATCACATCTGAATATTGACGACAAATCTTCTTGTAGGCTCTTATTCTTTTCCCTCAGATCGTCGGATTTGAGATGCTCACTCAAGTGTTCATTTAGCTTATCTTTTCTCAAGCTGTTCTTGTCTCGTATTTTTTGTGGAAATGATTTTAGAGCAACTTTGCTAGTCAGAAGATGTTTCCTTAAACATAAAATAACAATTTTACGAAAAAAGCTACCTTTGAATAAATATACACATAAGGCGAAGTTAGCTTTGCACCACTTCCGATACAGCAGAAATATATCATGGCAAGCTAGCCGACAGAAAATGAAACAAAAATGATGAAAAAACTACTTTTGGGTTAAACGAAATTTGCAATCTAGAATTAGCATGGAAACGAAAAATACAAAGCCGACATTATTTGGTCGACACCCATTGAGCCAGCAAAACAATCGATAAAAATTTGGGCTTTAAAACTTCGACCCACTCAAACTCGTAGAGCACTTTTTTCGCCCATCAAGGGACACAAAATTAGGCCGTTGTATTATAAGATAAAACCGTACTATACGTGAAATAAACCTTTTAAGCGAATGAAAAACTGAAACTTAACAAACTGGAGTAGTTAAACATAAAACCAAGATAAAACAAGATTCCTTATATAAATTTCAAATATGCTCAAAATATGTCTCTTGGTCGGCAAAAACAGATTTGACGCGAGAGCTGAAAAAACTATTCATTCAATTTGTGAAACAAAGCGTTAACACAAGAAAAAATCTGCTCCGATCTGATAACGCTAGCTAATCGCAAGCGTCAAGAGAACATTTAAGAAACATGACAACGATAACTTGAAACAGCAATCAAAATTTGTCAGAGCTGCTACTCAACATCATTTCGAGTAGACCAACATAGATCAAAAATGCTCATCATACAATTCCATGCTTTCATTCTACGAAAAAGGCTACTCACACAATTTTATACAGTTTTACAAATCAGGGCAATTGAAATATATATGTATTTTTCTCTCGTTTTGACAGTTTTAAATTGGGGTTTAACAAAAAAAAACGAAGATTTTTGGTTTAAAATGGTTATCATACAGGTTCTATAATTGAAAACTGCATGACCAGATATTTTTTTATGGTTTCTTCGAGTAAAAGTTTAAAGTTGCCCAAAAACATTTCTTATCATCATTTTGGAAAGCAGACAAATTTTGGATCCAAGCAAACTTTTCATTAAATCGAAAAAAGTGCTAAAGTAGTCCTGAATTCCCGAATTTTTTTTGATTTTTCGAGACAAGTTTTTTTTGTCGAAAACAGCTCAAAAATTTAATTCGTTGATGCCTTTTTATGCCCAACGCAATGAAACATTGATCCAAAATTTGAATTAATTATTTAGTTTCAGAATTGTCAGGCTGGCCCCAAGGCATAATATCTCGGATATCTTCAATCCCTCAGGGCTTCGAGGGTTTTGTAAAGGCAGGTTCTTCGTCACTTGCGTTTGCTAACGAACACATCAAAAACTTTGCAAAAAAAAACAATTTTTTGGGATACGGAAAAACTTTAATCATACAATTCCCATTTATGAAAAAATACTCATCAATTATCAAGGTTGTTGCAGCGACAATCGGTTGATCAATAAGGAGTGAATTAACGAGATTTGAATGATATTTCCAGTAGTAACTCAGATCAAATATATATGGTAACTCACCCGCACAAAGTTGCTCGAACCAATGACTAAAGGTCATGTTTCACCAGCTAATTTTAACAAAAATCGGGAAGTGATCTTTCAGTTTGAACCGAACAAAAAAAATCAATTCCAGTTCAGTTACAAGAAATTACCAATAACCCGCCTTTCAAACTAGGTGGATCCTCGTAGAATGTCTCGGAAAAAAGCAGTTTTGCATTTTACCAAGTTTTTCGTCAAAGAGTCTGCAGGCATGTCTTTCTTTTTTTCATTTAACTCTCGAAGGAAGTGTTCTTTTATGGCAAAATGCTTCGTCTTTCCGTGGTTCATTGAATGTTTACTAAGGGCAATACAAGCTTAGTTATCAACGAAAAATTCCAAAGGCCTATTACACATTATGCCTTTAGAAGTTTATGACTTTATGACTATTATGACCTGTAAAGAAATCCTTCCTTTACTGTTTCGACCACAGCATTGTGTTCTGCTTCGGCTGTTGAAGTTGATACTCAACGCGGGAGTCTGCTAGACCAACTTATTACACCTGAGTTGTCACTGAGCTGAAAACAGTATCCTGAGGTACTTCTCCTTTTGTATATATTTCTAACCCAGTCCGCATAGCTAACAAGATTCAACGCCTTATCCCTTCTATAGGTAAACTAAAGTTAAACTTTTTGTTCCTAGCAGATATCTTAGACAATTTTTCCCGACTTTCCAATGCTTTTCACTTGGGTTTTCGACAAAAGAACTTTTCCACAAAATGTTAGCTGCAAAGCAAATGTCGGGTCTACTTGATAAAGCTAAGTTATTAGGACAATCAACAAATCCTCGATTGTAACATTTTCTTGCTCTATTCTACCTTCTAAAGGACAATCTTCTTTTGTCGGTTTTTCGTTTTCACCAAGAGGGGTTGTTATCGGTTTTGCTACGATCATCTTAAATTTTGATAAGAACTTTTCAACATATTTCTCCTGGCTTACCCTGATTTTGTTTCCTGAGTTATCAATTTTCATTCCTAAGAACCATTCAAGATCAGTTATCTCAAATTTCTCAAATGTTTCAGAGATATTGTATTCAAACCAAATACAGAAAATTTTGTCCGCTCCACCAACCACTATATCATCAACCCACAAGCAAAATAAACCTACTATCTCTCCCTCAACCCTCCTAACAAACAAGCACTCACCAAGAACTGAATCTTCAGCCTAATTTCTCAATATAGCTTTTTAGAGTCCTATGCCAGTTTCTACCGGACTGCTGTAGTCCATAAAGACTTTTCTTCAGAAGACGAACTAAAGGTTTTCCTTCTTTAAACTTCTCGAACCCTTCAGGTTGCTTCATAAAAATATTTTCATCTAGTTTGGCAATCAAGTATGCAGTTTTAATGTCTAACTGTCTTAACTCATGCCTATATTGAAAAGCTAAACTTAGAAACATTCTTATGTTCGACATCTTAGTTGTAGTCGAATACGTTTCGTCGAAATCCCTTCCCTCGACTTGGCTGAAACCTTAAGCAATAAATCTAGCCTCAAGCCTAAAAACTTCACCATTATGTCCGTACTTCAAATTAAAATGCCATCTGCTTACTATTTGCTTCTCTCCTCTATTTCTAACTAGTTCCCAAACTTTTGTTTTTTTTCCAATGAATTGAACTCTTTTTCATTGCTTCTTGCCAGTCAGGGTCTGCTGAAGCTTCTTGAACATTTTTCGGTAGATTTTCGAGGACTTCTCCAAAAAATACCTCATCACCCACTTTTTCATCACTTTCTATCTTTTTCTCAAAACAGAACTTACATTCGTCAAAACTAACGTTTCAAGACTTTTGCACTTGGAGTTTTGCTCCATTCTCAATTCCTATCAGATAAACTTATCTATTTTCCGATGTCCCCAAGAAAAATCCTCTTTTAGAAATTTTGTCTAGTTTTATGCGAAACTGTTTTTCCACGAAACTATACGCTACACATCCAAAAGTTTTCGAAAAAAATTAGGGTTGGGTTTTTCTCAATACATAGACTAGTAGGGTTTTTTGCCTATAGCAGAATGAAAGCACATTTTTTTGAGATTGGTAGCCATATTGAGAGCATAATGCCAATAAAATTTCAATAAATTGGCATAAAAAATCATGCAGCGAGCCATTGGAGTAATCGTTCCTCACACCCTTTCTATCTTTCCGTTCTCTAGAGGGATACAAGGAGCCGACTTTTCCGGTTTTTTTTTCTGTTTCCAATAAACTTGTCTAAATTCCTGACCGATATACTCTCCTTCGCCATCTAAAACTTAAGTCTGAGGGTCTCCTAGGTCTGTTATGAACCTTTCCAGCTTTTTTGTAGCCTCATCTATCATCTTCATGAAATAAACTGTTAGGTATCTAGAAAAACTGTCCACAAAAACCTATAGCATATCTATGACCCTCCTCTGCTATCGAGTCGATAGGACCTAAAATATCTATGTGAACAAAATCTCGTGTCCTGGTTACCCTGGTGTAACAATCTTTCGGGACTGGCTTCTTTTTTGCTTTATTCAACTCACAAGTTTCACAATTCTCAATTTTAAAAACGCTTATCTTCATGCCTTCAAGATGTTGCTCTAAATGACTTAAGTCTTTGTAGTTATTATGAGCACTCCTACAAGGCCATTGTTTCAATTTTCTAACTTCATAACGTTCATCTTTTCCTACAAAAAAGTCCCACAAAAAGAGACCTCTTTCCTCTCTTAATGGGTAAACTGAACCATTTCTCTGACGAACAAACGAGCTCGCACAAAAAAACAACGTCTGATCCTGCTTTCTTCATTTTAAAACACTTATCAAAATTTTGTACTTTTTAGGAACGTACAAAGTATCCTTCAGCTCAATCACCTTAAGGTCGCCTTTCTCGTCTTTGACTCTGAATCCAACTTCAGGGAAATTTACATTGCTTACCAACCCTTTGAAGTTCTCAGATAAACCTTTTGTAGTTGGATTAACATCTCTCGACCCTTTATCAGATTACTGGTGGCTCCAGAGTCTACGACTAAGTCCTCGCCCGGAGACACGCCACTCAGAAAACTAAAAACAGCATCTGTTTCAGCTGCTAGGTTCTGCTGTTCTCGCTCAGTCTTACTAAAAAAAATTTCTTTGCTTCGCCTAAGTTTTCTATGCACTATTTCAACACGTCCTCTTTTTTGACATTTAAAACAAACTCTGTTCTCGCAATTAAAAGCATCTCTTTTTCAATGACTTGTCTTTCGCTATCAAAATTCACCAAATCTCTTTCCAACTCATCTAAACTTTTCTCATCTCTACTACACTTGGCTATATTAGAACTAATTTCAAATTCTTTTGGAAGCCCTTGCAAAATAATTGAAAATTTTTCACTCACTGCTTCGTTCACTTGTTCTAAGTTATATTGAATCTCCTCTGCTCTAGTCAAATAATCTATCACTGTTTCATTGCTATTCTTTTTGAAAGTTCTAAGTTCGGAGATTAATTTTTGCAGTCTGGGTCTTTCAAAACTCTTAAGCCTCTTCCGCAAAACATCCCAAGCTTTGCTACCATTGCCTTTGTAAGGTCTTAAAAACAAAACCGATCTCTCATCTAGAGCCGGCACAATCGGTCTTAAACTTGGCATTAAATTTCTATAATCAACTGTCTCATGTAAAATCTTGTTTAATTTCAAGTGAAAAATTCGTGCCTCGATTTGCTCTTTTAAGTAGGAAAAACCCTCTCCTTTTCCCGAAAAAACTATCCTTTCAGTTTTCGACATTTTTTTTCCTAACTTAAGTTCTTATTTCCTGCTTAAGTCTTCCACAAAGATTAAGATGCAATCAAAATTCAAAAGCTAAGTATTGCCTCAGGTAAAAATCAATGACTAGGTTTTCCCATACATCGAAATGATGTGTTATAATCATCAATATTGCCCGCTTATATAACTATCCAAGTACATTTGATTACCTAAATCTGATTCTTACCGAATAACACATCAGCTAATTAGAAAGAAGTTCGTATTTTTATACTGGTGTAGTGTATCAGTTCTTCTTTTTATACTGGTGTAGTGTATCAAATATAACATGTAATTTATCAATTTGTTTCAGTTTTCTTTCACTATCAATCTTCGTGTAGTGCTTATTCCGCCGCTGTGCTCACTCAGTGCCCCTTCATGTATTTTTTGACTGCCTTCGCTTCTAGTTGTGTTTCCCTGCTTCTATCATGAGAATTGTCTATCTCTAGAAGTTGTGTTTCCGTTAGTGTTGTCAGAGTTGTCTGTCTCTACTAGTTGCCCTGCTTCTATCTTTGCACTTCTCTATCTGATCAACCGTCTATCTCCAAGTAGCGTTGGCCTGCTTCTTTTCTCGCAATTCTCTATCTGATCAGTTGTCTATTTCAAGTTGTGTTTTTTCACTGTCACAACCCCACTGCAAATCTCAGTTTATTCTTATTCGTTTAAGCAAACAGTCAATCTTGACTCCTGACTTCTCACTCGTGCTTCGGCATCTCGGCCCATAACCTATCAAGGTTATTGCAGCGACAAACGATTGATTTATAAATGCTTTTGAGTGATAGTTCCAGTAGTAATTCAGATCAAATATATATGGTAAATCACCCGCACAAAGTTGCTCGAACCAATGATTGAAGGTCATGTTTCACCATTAATTTAAAAAAAATCGGGAAGTGATCTTTCAATTTGAACCAAATAAGAAAGATCAATTCCAGTTCAGTTACAAAAAATCACCAGTATCAAAAACCTTTCATGAAATTTTCTGCATATTTACTGAAATTCCAAGGAAACTTTATTAATAGTATATTCCGTATAAGGAAATTGTATGAGTAGCATTTTTGTTTATCCCGGATAGTTTTTAAAAATTATTGAGCACTAAATAAAGTGAAGTTTACCTTTTACTTACTTTCTCCAGCAGAAGTCGCTGCTTCTTCTTTTGTTTTGGCGTAAGTTGATGCTGCTTCAAAATCCCAGTCAAGAACACCTCCACTGCCCATGTTGACCAACACTTTGCTCTCTCTGATTGACGTAAGTTGAAACCTCCTCCCACATCCTGCAAAGATTCTTTTCTCATGTCTTATCTGCAGAACAATGTAGTTGATAAATTCTTTTGGATCTCTCCAACTATCCCCCTATTGCAGTAAGAGGGATTCATTGGTTGGTACAAAATGCGCATATCCTTAACCGTTAAAATATTTCTTAACAGGGGTGGAAATTCGTTAATAGCTACCAGGCAGGGTGGGTTTGGTAGTTAAAGATATCCTTTAACAAACAAAACCTGTACGATTTTTTCAAACATGTACGATTCGGAAGCAACAAAGCTACATATCATTCTCTACGGTTATCAACCAATTCTGTTCAATCAATCACAAAAATAATTAGCATTCCAGCAAAAAATGGCTGCTCATTTTCGATAAAATCTTAATTAAACTAGCACTTCAAATTGCTGCACATTTTTGAATTGTGCCAAAAAATAGTTGTCACTGAGGTTAAAGATAATCCAGGCAAAGTCGTTTTGTTACAAAAGCAGAGGGCTCCAAAACATCCGCCTTTACTGACATTTATACTGCAGCTTTTATAGCTTTTCTAGAAATTAGCAAATATGTTTGAAATCTGAGAAAGCTAGCCGCTACCTCACTGATTTTGAAAGTGATAGCTCTTCAAAATTTCTATATGCATATAATTTTACGAACAAAAATGACCAAAAAAACTCAACTAAAAGCATTTTCACGCGAGTCCGGGAAAAATGTATACTATTTTGATCAATCCGAATCAGCATATGTGCTCCTAAAAAGACTGGACTTATAAGGTTTTGACCTAAGCAGAACTATCAAGCACAAAAAATAGCATTACAAGCTAGCAGACAGAAAATGAATTTAAAAACATTTATCAGGCAGCAATTAAGCCGATAAAATTGGGTACATGCCAGTAGAGCCGAAACCAAATTTGTTGTCACAGTACTGATGTTCTTTAACTTAACGCCCCCTTTTGGAAACACAAAAAACAAAAGGCCGTTGTTTCCTTTTGAAAGGCGCAAAACTAGGTCACTATATCGATAAAGGATAAGACAAAACCATGTCCATGTGGGCTAAATAAAGTTTTTGAGAGAAAAAAACAAAAGGAAATAATCAAAGTCAGGGGAAACAAAAATGTACACAAAAAATTGTTATTTCTAAAGGCTGAAGATGAAATTAAAAATGAAACGAGACTTGTTGAAAAGCTGTTCTGTTGATACGGGATTCGGTCCGACGCCATCTACACAACTTTTCCAGACAGACGTGTTAATCGAAAGACTAAAGATAATTATAATAAATGTCAAACCGAGATAATAAAAACATTTTTCGATATTGTCTATAACTTAAATCTCCTCTTAAAGTCTCCATCAAATAAACTCACTGCGACCTTTTAATAAAGAGGCGCCCTAATGTAAGACTCTGCTTCGCCGTTGTATTTAAAAGGTAATCAGCTGAATTATTTTCATCTTAATAAAAGTCAACGAATTTTCATTTCCAGATACAAAAACCACTTGAGAGCTTAAGCGTTTATTTAGTTACGCCATTTAGCTATGACATAAACCAAGATCAAACGTTTCACGAGACCATTCACAATATTTAAAAAAAAACAGATTTCGTTTTTAAAACGCTCGCCCCAATTCATTGAAAAACCGAGTTAGAAAGAAGCCTTGTTCATGGGCATTAAAAGTTTCAGATAAACAAAATGTTTCATTAATTTTGTATTTTTTCCTCCAATAGTTGCCCGAAGCTATGTAATTTACAAGATTTTTTATTGCCCTGACTAGTGAAAAGAGGAGGAACTGGGGATTTGGGTGTTTGCCGTACGAACTTTAAGGATATTTCACATCAATTGTCCTTCGAGCTGGAATAAAGAAATTCAACGCAGAGGCGAAGCTGCTCTTTGCAAACACTAGCTAAGCACGAAAAAAAGCAGCTCTATAAAGTGCAATAAAAAAGTAGAAATAAGCCTCGAATTAGTAAAAATGCGGATACGTCTGGATCCGATCAGCGACCTACTGCGATCTAGAGACTATGTGTCTCACGCACTAACCACTCGGCCACGCACGCTTAATATATAACAAACACTAGCCACAAAAAGGCAGAGAACTGATGCTATGAAATTTCCAATGCTACAGATCGTGATTATAGCAAAAGTGCCACCAAACAAGTGAACACTACGCTTTCAATGAACACTTTTAGTTGCGAGCTAGGTTGAAAAAAGAAGGTTCCTACTTTTACACTATGCTATCAAGTTCGCAAGTGTAAACACAGAGGCGACGCGGAGCTTCGCGCCATTTGAATATACAAACATAAAAAACATTGGTAAAAAATTGGAAAACGTTGAAAAAATAGGTCAATAAAAATTTCCCATGTCTCAATGAAAAACTAGGGGCCAAGCTGAAGGTACAAGTTAGACATTTTAAGAATTTGTTATACTGATGCGGGACGAAAAACTTAAGCTTCAAAAAGCTTAGTTATTTCTCTTTTAAAATAAAAGAGAAGAAATTTTTTTCAGATATTGGAAGTGTCCTAATGACAAAAGATTTATCTAAAAAATTAAAGTTTTTAAAAAATTTCAAAACATTTCTATAAAACGGTCAGAAACTCAAAACTTTGAGTCGTTTGAAGGCAAAAGCTTTTTTTCCAGAAAAAAAATGGGCGCAGCCAATTCTAAATGTAAGCTTTCAACAACCTGTTCATTCGATGAAACCTATGATATCAGATTTGGCATATTAGTTAGCGAGAAAAGTCCAAAAACGGTCAATAAATCAAAAAAATTGACATTTCCAATTATAATTTTTGTATGAAAAAATTGGGTGTAGCTTCTTATGCACGCAAACTGTTATGTGATGGGGATAAAAAGCCGCCTGATTTTCATTTGAATCAGAGTCACGTCTGAAAGGAATTTCAAATTATACCATACTGATGGAAGACCTAAAGCTTTTTTTAGTTAACGATTTTTGTTTAACGCAAAATTGGTACCTAATAAAAGCTCGTAGGTCTTTCATCAGTAGGTAAAATTTTAAAGTCCATTGAGTCGAGTTTGAGTGAAGAAAGTATGTCACATACGGTTCGTAAAAGAGCTTTTAGATTACTTTAGAAAAGTCCAAAAAGGTCAATGAATCAAAAAATTTGACATTTCCAAGAATTATAATTTTTGTGTGAAAAAATTGGGTAGCCGCTTATGCACGCAACCTATAACTTCGATTGAACCAAAAAAAACTAAGATATGGGAGGATATTTTTCGATAAAAGTCAAACGTTGAAAAAATGGTCAAAAAATCACAAATTTGACTTTAGCGACTTTATGCCTGGGAGCTTTTCAAATCCATTTTATTCATTAAAACAAAAAATCAGATTTTGGATGGCAACATTTTTGAACACGAAAGAAAAAATCAAAAATAGGAGTCAAGTATGCCCCTCGCAGACTTTTTCGAAGACTGCAGACAGAGGGGTAAAGTACAAAGATACTAGAAAAGTATGCACGTACATAGGGAAGAAGGCAGTCTTTCCAATGATAAGCCTTTTATGAAAATCTGAGAAAAACTGAAGTTATTGCAAAAAGTGAAAAAATGGAAGAGTTTCAAAAAACTAAAAGGAAAGAACCGAATCCCAGACATTTTCATAATACCTGTTTTCATCGAACAAGACTTCTAGGCAAAAATGCCAAGCAAGACATTTGAATGTTAACAAGAAATTGAGCATGTCAAAAGATGAACGAGTCCAGCAGATGAATGAGTCCTATGAACAAGGTTATTTACGGAAAAAAGTCTGGTGCACGATTGCAATACCATTGCTTATCGCAAGGGCAATTAGAAACGTAACAAAACTTACGAAGCGGAAACAATGCCTACAATTTTTGAACAGACTTTTGACCTGAAAAAATTGATTACATAAAAAACTTTCCCGGAAGCTACAATGAACATCACTCGCAACTACAATGATACTTACTAACAGCACAATTTAAATACGTTATGGGCAACTAAGACGACAAAAATTGAGCAGGTAAGCGAAAGTTCGGTAAATTAAATTTCAACGAAAAAACTTTTTCAATTGCATATATGCTGAAAAAAACAAGGTCCGTCTGGGATTCCAACCCCGGACCTTAAGGTGCAAAAACGACGACTTTACCTCTAGGCCTGAAAATTATTAAGATTCGATAATGAAGCAAACTGAAAATTTTTAAGAAAAGGTGTTTAGAGGGAAAAAATAGTCTAGTTCCCCATTTTTACTTAAATAATTTTTTCTAGGGTCGACAAAACTGTTCGTTAAAGCCCTTTTAGATAAACTTAGACCAAATAGTTGCGTAAGGAGACAAAATACACACACGAAAAATGGAACAAAAATATACTGTCGCATTTAAGTGCAAAACAAAAAATTCAGACCAGTTAATCTTCTTCTCGACACTGAGAAATTTTTTTCATTTTTTGGCGCTTTCTCATCACCCACCTGCAGATTTTTGCAAAAAAAAATTGGCCCGTGGACTAATAAGGCCAAGACAAACATATTTGAGTAATGAATGATTTCCTCAATCTTATTAAATCATTCATTACCCCATAAAATTGATGATATGTATGAGATGGGAGGGGGGATAAAAAGCCGCCTGATTTTCTTTTGAATCAGAGTCACGTCTAAAAAGAATTTCAAATTATACAACACTGATGGAAGATCTACAAGCTTTCTTTTAGGTAACGATTTTAGTTTAACGCAAAATTGGTACCTATAAAAAGATTGTAGGTCTTTCATCAGTGTGGTATAACTTTAAAGTCCATTGAGTCGTGAAGCTCTGAGTTTGAGAGAAGAAACTATGTCACATACTGTTCGTAGAAGATCTTTTAGATTACTTTAGAACTAATGGTCGAGCAAGGAGTCACAAAACACGCCCGAAGAAAAGTCGTAATCAATAGAAGTAAAATCTCATTTCGCAATATTTGAAATAATCTAATTACCAACAAAGCTGAGGTTTATACGAAGCTTTCAATACTATAGTTACGCTCATCCATACACAGAAACAAAAACTTCCATTAGTTTTACTTTTATATTTTATTTGCAAAACTAGATGTGGTATCATTCTGGACTGCTTGCATGACTCTGCTTGCGTGGATGTTAACTCCACAACAAATAAGCATAAGAAAAAAATAGAAGGAGTATGAATTAAATTAATGAATTTCGATTATTCGCACAGCCTAAGAATTTACACAGATGTAAATCTGCGCTTCGCAAACACTAGCCAGAACACGATAAAAAAGCATCGTTATAAAGTGAAACTAGCATGTATCGCACCTCCGGCACTTCGAAAATTCAAAAAACTCAAAAAACTATTCTTTGAGGGTACTCTGACAGCACCCAATTACATGGTTCGTAATTAAAAATTTTGCAAAGTTTTTTAGTCAAGTTTTTTATACAAATTTTGAAGAACCATAAAATTTTGTGAAGTTTTATATAAGTTCTTCGAAAAATTTAAAATGAACTAAGAAACGTCCCATCTGGGAACTTGAAAGCAATTAGGCAGTCGCATTGTCGCACTTGGGCACAAGATTTGCAACTCCTGATAGTAACTTCAAATTTTGTAAAATTTTTCTTTCGTTTTTTTTTTAATTTAAATTTCGAAAAACCATAAAAATTTGTTACAATTTTTTTATATCCAAGTTTATAATAAATTAAGAAACGTCACATCCGGGAAACTGAAAGCAATTAAGCAGTCGCAATTGGACGCAAGATTTGCAACTACTGAGAATACTCTTACAGTGCCCAACTACAACATTAGGAAATTCAAATTTTGAGAAACTTCACCTTAAGTTTTCTAAAAAAAAAAGTTAGTTTTTTGAAAACCAGAAAAAAAATTCACATCTCGATAACTACCAAAACTTGAGCAGTCTTTTGTGATGGCAATATTAGCAATCTTTGAAAGTACAGAACTACAGGGTTGGGAATTTCACTTAACGAATTATTGTGTAAATTGAGTTTTCTGAAAATTTCCAAAAAATTCACAAAAATCGTCGTATCTCTTTAACAAAAACGATTTGGGCATTCTTAATTGCAGGCCGAGTTGGCAAACCCTAAGATTACTCTGACAGCCCCCAACTACAGGTTAGAAAATTCAAATATTTAATTTTCATAAATTTTTTTTTTGAAATATCACAAAAACCGTCATATCTGGAAAACTGCAAGATTTTGAGCAGTCCTATTTGGAGGCAAAATTCGCAACTGCTGCGCGTACCCCGACAGAGCCTCACTAGAAAGATGATAAATTCAAGTTTTTTAAAAATTTTTAAACTTAAGTTTTCTGAAAAATTTTGAAAAAAATCATAAAAAAACGTCATATCTCGAAAACTACAAGAATTTGAGCAGCCAAATTCAGAGGCAAGTTTCATAACCCCCTGAAAGTACACTCACAGATTCCATTAACAGGATTGATATCTTCAAAGTTTTGGAACTTTTTAACATCTAAGTATTTTTTGAAAATTTTGGAGAAAATCATAAAAAACGTCATATCTCGAAAACTACAAGAAATTGAGCAGCCATAATTGGCGGCAAAAGTTCGCAACTCCTGAGAGTAGCCTGAAACCTGACAGAGCCTCACTACAGAGATGGAAGTTTCAAGTTTGTGAAACTTTTTATTCTAAGTTTTCTGAAAAAGGTTGAAAAAAATTCCAAAAAAACGTCATATCTTGAAAATTACAAGGATTTGAGCAGCCATAATCAGAGGCAAGATTTGCAACCACTGAGAGTACTCTCACAATATCGAACAACAAGATTGAGATCTTCAACGGTTTGGAATTTATCAAAACCTAAGTTTTTGAAAACATTTTGAAAAAATCATAATAAACGTCATATCTCATAACTACAAGGATTTGAGAAGTGAAATTGGAGGCAAGATTCGCAACCCCTGAGAGTACCCTGACAGCACCCAACTACAGGGTGAGAATTTCAAAAATTGAGAAATTTTTTTAATTAAATTTTCTTGAAATTTTTGAAAAATCTCGAAAATTGCCTATCTCGTAAACTAAAAGGATTTGGTTATTCATATATGGAGGCCAGAATCGCAAAACCTGGAAAAACTGACAAAATCCTTCTATTGGGTTGCAAATTTCAAACTTGATGAATCAAACACTAAATTTAAACTAGAATATCGAAAAAAACTTAGCCATTGCAATATACGATATAGCTTAAATATGAAAAAATTCTTCTGTTAAACATGCAAAAATAATATGTTGAAAAAGCTTTAACATGGCGAGATAGTGAAGCCCGCATTTAAATATATAATAGATGAAAAATAAAAAATTAGGCGACGGGTAGACAGACATAATCAAATTAATTAAAAACCAGGTATACAACAGTTAGACAGACTTAAATTGGCCTCGAAAAAAACACTCAAAAATTTGACCTTGCGGAAAACTAATTGAAAAATTTGCTTAAGCATTGCAATTTATAATATAGCTTAAAAATGAAAAAAGTCTTTCGTTAAGCATGAAAAAACAATATGCTTAAACATGGGAGATAGCGGTCACTCGGATTTAAATATAGTATAGATAAGAAAAGATAGAAAGAAGCCTCGAATTAGTAAAACTTAGCTACTTATGAGGTTCGAAACTACGACTTCGAGAATTGGAGTCCTCTCGGCCACGAACGCTTAGCAAACGGCAAACACTAGCCACAAATAAAGCAGAGAACAGATGCTATGAAATTTAAAATGCTAGATTGTGATTATGGCAAAAGAGTCACTAAATAAGTAAACACTTTTAATGAACACTTTTATTTGCGAGTTAGGTTAGAAAAAAAGCACTCGCGAAAACACGACAAAAAGCAGCTGGGTAAGTGCAAAAATAAAAATTGAAATAGGCCTCGAATTTGTAAAAAAAAAAATTGCCGTCTCAGATTCGATCTGCAACCTTAAGAATCTGAGTCTCACTCACTCGCGTATGAAATCGCAAACACTAGCCACAAATGAAGCAGAAAACAGATGCTATGAAATTTCCAATGCTACAGATCGTGATTATAGCAAAAGTTCCACTAAATAAGTAATCACTTTTAATCAACACTTTTATTTGCGATTTAGTTTAGAAAGAAGGTTCGTACCAACACACTATGCTTTCCGCGAGTAAAAAAACTGACAAAGAAATTGAAAGACAGACGGCCAAAATATTCTTTCATTAATATTTGAAAACAACATACCATTGTAGAAATAATGCCAAAAACTAAGTCAACTCTGCAAGTCAAGTTTCAAGTCAATTCTACTAAGGCAATAAAAACGAAAGCAGACACTGGTTTTTCGAACAGTTCGTAGTTTGCAGAAACAAACGCCTGAAGTAAATGGCTTCAAAACCAATTTATGCGAATTATTAAGTTCATCTAACTGTTCAAAGTCAGATCTCGCTAATTTTGTACTGACTTCAAGCTAACGCGCTCGAAATTATGCTCTAAAAACTCACTGCAACTTTAACACCGGGACGAAGCTGCTCGATGCCAACCAAGCAAAAACGAGAAAAGTAGCTTTACATTGAAGGCTAAGCAGAGCCTCGCAAAACTGCAATTCAAAAACAAATGCTACAAAACAGTTATATAAGCCAGATAAAGTATACACCTGTAAACGAGTAAAGAAAATGAATATGCAAAATATTTATATTAAACACTCCATTTTTTCCAAAAACAACTCAAGTTTTGCCTCAGTAGCTTCGACACATTACCAACAGTGTTCGTTAGTTGGTTGAAAACACTCGAAAAAGTCAGTTTCAAAAAATTGGAAGGTCATTTTCTTGTCAGTTTTTAAAATCACTAAAATTACGATCAGTTAAGACACAAATCTTATTTCATTGATTTGTATATGACTACGCGCGAAATTTATTGAACAACTAAAATGTTAAAATTTTTTAAACCAAACGATTTTAAAAAAATGTAACACACTACTACAGGAACTTTAAGAAAGGCATTTTAAAATAGTAGAATAACCGCAACTTAAAAAAATATCTTCGTCTGGAAGCTAAGCCGCTCTGGAAATTAATTCGACAAAAATTGGCACACAAATGACAGTCCGAAAACTTTTCAAAGCTGATAATTTTCAGCTTGCCAAAAGTACAGGTACTGCCGGGAGTCTACCCATGGGCCCAAACGTTCCTTGAATTTGAACTATCTATAAATAAAACATCAAACGATTCACTAAATGGGTTATACCTCGAAAAAGTTTTGAGCCTCAAAAAAGTTCGATTTGATAGAGTCAACAGATAATGCAAACTAATCGCAATAAAAAAACACTAAAAATTTATGAGTTGCGCCATCTGGTATTACTACGCTACGTTGCTAACGCATTCGACGTATAGCAAATACTTAGGCAGCATTGATAGCGATTTAATGAATCATCGGTCCAATGGTGCTCTCCTAGGCAGTAAAATTGTTGGAGTGGTTTGCAAAATTATTAACTTAGAAACATATCCAACAGTGGAATTGCCTGAAAACAATTTATTATTGTTCCGACTTTCGATACGAAAGTAACGGAATATTTGTGCTCGGGGTTGGTTTTTTTTCTTCAGACAAATTTCGACTTTTTAACTAGCCGTTTCTGGCGGAATTTTTTTATATCATTCAAAAGGTAGTGTTGTCCTGAGCTTGAATTTGAAAAGATATTTCACCTGTGATCATTTTTCGTAAAGTTATGGGGGTTTAAAGACTGCCATTTTGGCCAATTTGGGACAATTAACGCGCGATAAACTTCGCGCTATTAACGCGTAAGCGAGATTTAATCCGTCTGAGAAATTGTTCCAAATTGGTTCAAGGATGCTTTTATGCCATAATTGATTTGTTTATAGGCGCAAAATCTATCACTTTGTACTTAATATGATGTGTGGGGGGTTGTTTTTACATAAAATCTCAAATTTTTTCAAAAAATTTATTTTTTATTTTTTCTATTACCTTGAAAATTTTCTTGTTATTTTATTAATGCTCCATAGACCCTAAAAGGAAGTCGGAACATTCAGGGCTTCGCCCTGATACGAGCAGTCTTGTTATTATAATTAGACACATGCTACTAAATACAGAGATGGACCTTATACACTGAAAACGATTGCGAATTCTATTTAGTAATATGTGGACTCTTAATAAAACAAAAACGTTTTACGGCAAAATTATATGCAATGAAAGTATCTTCAAAGCAGTAATTTAACCTCGACGCTATTTCAATCAAAAAGGGTGATCCGAATGGAGATGTCTTTGTGAACTTATTCAAGTAGTACATAAATTCAGGAACAACACAGCATTTGAAGCTCAGTAACGGCTTAACTTTCGCATAAATAGTTTTTAAGTTGAATTAACTGACAACACACTCCGTTATATGCTTTTCGGTCATGGCGAGAGTTCATAACTTGGAGAGACTACCTCGAACTTGATACTTATGAGAGAATCCAGAAGCTGTTTTTTTTTCACTCCGAGTATCCCAAAATTCTTCTGCTTTCTTCTGCCTGCTGAATCATCTGGTCGCTAGCATACTGTTTAAGAAGTTCCATCTTCTTCGCCTGTAATAACTTCTGTTCCACTTCTTGCTGGCTAGGAATGTCTGGAACGTACGATACAAAGTTTTGAAGTGGTTCATCAAGGGGTACTTGTTGGTCAATTGGAATGTCCTCGACTGTGTTCCCGGTTCCATCGTCAAAAGCGATCGCCGATTCAATATCCTCTGTGGTTTGAGTCGCCAGCCCATTTTTAAAGTCTTCTACTGACTGTTTTATCATTTCCTTTTCAGCTTCCTAAACAAATGAATGATTTGACATACAGGAATGCAAAAAACTAAATCAGAGGCTAAAGAAAACATGCATTTTTCTTAATATGAGATTGATATAGTAATACGGTAGGTTAAGGCGGCAACATCAAAAGATCCAAAAAATTATTAGATTTAAATTATTAGAAAAAATAGCCTGATAAGAAAACCGGTAAAATAGAAATGAAAACACTTGAGGTCAAAGAAATTGCTTTTGAAAAGCTTAAAGAAACTATACTTAAATGACAAAAAATTTCTTGCCGCAATATTTCTCTGATCTCCTTCATCTGATTTACACTTGTTTAGGTTCCCGAAACAAGTCTTCGATGGGCATTAATGCCCGAATGGCATCATTGATGCAATAATGGGTACTAAATCAGTTCAATCAAGCCGAGAAAAATAATTTTTCTTGATAACTTCGATAAAATTCAACTTTGAAAGCACAACAAAAATAAAAATAGCTGTTATATTCACGAAAAATTACGGAGCGGAAATTAAAAACAGACAACTTAGAAACTTGTTAGGTGGAAAACGCTGGTTATTCTCGGAAAAAGCTACCGATTTGAAATTTTCTGACCTTTTCTAGAGCTAGCAAAACACCGTCATCATCGTCCCTGTACCCATAGTAATCAGCATCCACTTTCTTCATTAACTCTGCACGCGTTTTCCTTGGAGGAGCAGGCGGCTCATTTTCAAACAACTCTCTCACACCTGGAAGGTCTTTCGCCGCTCCAAAATATTTGTATCCGTCGCCACCAGGAACTGCCAATCCCTCCGCGTTTATCATTTTTGGTCCATACCTTTTATAATTTGGACCTCCAAGCTCTATTATTCTGTTTTCCCAATGATACTTAATCCTCAGTGATTTATTGATTTCATCGTTCAAATCTCGTATTCTGAATTCTCCTAACCCCGGATTCTGAATTTGAGAGATTTTCTTGGATATTTCTCCGATTATTTCGCGCCTCCAGTATTCAGCTTTCTTCAAATCGTCGCATTCAGACGCCATATATGGTCGCTTTTCAGTAACTTTGCCTTCGTTAAGCTTCATTGTGTAAAAACGAGCCAGTTTCGTCATGGCCTTTTCTGAGTTGCGAGCCATGATGAAAAATCAAACACACTGAAAAGATAAACAAAATTTGTTGAAGCTGTAGATAAACAATTACTTTTTACAATGCCCTTAACTTAAACAAAAACTGGCAATTCAATTTCAATTGCACTTTCAAATCTCATAGCAGAGATTTTTAAACTTGATTCTTTTGCTCTTTTACCAAAAAACCCCCCAAATAAGTAGAACTAGAATTAATTTCAACAAAAAATGGTAAATTTTGCTCAAAAATCTTTTTCGGCGCATTTTCCGTTCTCAGAATGAATCTATGTTGGTCCCAAAGCGCCTTTAGAAAAAATTTTGGATGGTGGGTCGAAATTGCTGGGTCGATAGTGCCAAATGGGGACTCTTTGCGGCCATAGTGCCGAATGCCCCCTCTACGAAACCAGCCTTGCCGGAAAATTATACTTAAACCAGGTGGAGGACATGGAGATGGTAGAAGAGCCAAATGTTCTACTTAACTAAATCATTTTCATCAGTTCTTTTAGCATGTATACCAAAAGAGGTTCTTTTACTTTCTTTTCTCATCTCGGTCGTTCGCCATGCTTCGTCTTAACTTAACTTGCTAATTTTTCTCTAACTTTCCTACTTCACTTCGCCTGTGTTTTCACTCAAACATAGCTTTGAAGCTCTTTGGCATCAAATCAGCACATACTGTTACGTGTCTTCTGTAACCCTCACACACATCTTTCTGACACAATGGGCACCTATCCTTATGCATAGTCCTCGTATGTTTCACCCTCTCCACCACACTTTCGAACTCTACTTGGCAACATGAACATTTCTTTATATTCACGTGTCGCGCTAAAGTGTGCTTGAACAAATCCATATCAGTTTCATAAACCCCGTAACATACTTCACATTTTTTGTATAGATGCGTTGATACCATGTGGCCTAATTTAAGATCCACGTTGTCGAAAATCAGAGCACATTTTTCACAATGAACAGCCATTTTTTCGGGAACTTCCGCGAACATAACTTTGGTCAGCATACCTTTTCGTGTTTTCTCGCAAGCTGCAAGACATTCAAACACATGGTTTTCAGATAAGAGATCACTGGTGAACCCAGCCTGACAAATGAAACAGAAGTTGGGATGCCAGAATCGAACGTGCTTGCCCCGCGACTCAAGGTCTAGGAACCCAATGCTGCATAACGTGCAAGTAAAGTCGAAATAGAAGTCACATGATTTGCACGCACCAATTACAGCCGAACTTTCAATTGATTCTTTGGTAAATATGTTCTCGCAAAATAAGCAATCTAAAACCTCAAATTTTTGCTGAAATTTATCTCAATACACTTTTTGGAGAATTATTGAATATCTGATTTCGCACATTTTGGCAAAAAAATAACAACAAAAACTTTTAAAAATCAAAGATATCGAAATGTCCAATTCTAACCCATAGATTTGAACAAGGAGCTGCATGAGGACCTGCCCTCAAAACAATTCCCAGAATTTTTCAGGTCGTTCCTCTTCATTAAAAACCATGGATCTGGCTTGCTTATATCTAGCGCCAAAACTGGATTTTCATCTCGATCTTGGTCGAACTGCATTGCTTCTCCTAACCCTTTTTTATCTCTATTTGCGACTTTCTTCCAGTTAAACCTTTCGGTGTTATCAATTTCCGTTTCATCCATAAGCGCTTCTTGCTGCTTCCAGAGCCTATTGTATTTATCACTATTTTTCCTGGCTGTTTTCTGAGCCAAAATAACTTTATCAATAGTTGCACAGAGATCTGCATTTATACTTGAACTCATAATGTTAACTAAAAACACGTCTAACTACAGCTAAAGATAGACTTAATTTAGTTCAATGCTACCAGGTGTTAATTTATCGGGGTCCCCTGATGCTTGATTTTACCCCACAATTACCCCTCTGATAATTTAACTCCCCTTCCCTAAACCTCGTTTCCAAGTTCTTTTTGTTTTGGTGCGAAAAAAAAAACTTGACCAACAAAGCTTTATTTCATCAATCGATTACAATAACCAATCAACAATTGAACTAAAACTTCATCATGTGAGGAAGCTGGCCATTCTTGAGGGTGAACTTGTTCCTCATGTATGCTGTGAAAATCTCAGTCTCCAGAGGATCACTGGTGAAATTCTTCACAGAGGCCATCAAAGCCTCGTCCAGCGCCTTCTCAACTTCAGGGTCAATTCTGGGCTCAGACGTGGACTAAAAACCATCAACGTGTTCTTTAACGTGTTCATCGTTGTTATTTTCGATTGAGAGCTTTCAAAAATATTTAGGAAGACTTGATTCGACTTTAAAAAAATGCTAAGAGAAATTAGTAGCTCATCAGTATGAGTCACCTTGTCTGCAGAGTCACTGAAGATGCCTGACTCTTTCGACTTCTTTTCCTTCAGTTTCTTGAACATTGAGAAGTTAATCTTGTCAGCCTGTGTTTTCACTGCATCAGTCAGAGGGATCTTAGTACTCGTTCCAATTACAAAGTTCTGCAACACTGGCATCAAAGGCAGTTTGTTCAGACTCTTAGGTCCGGCCAGCAAGAGATGACCGGACTCCAACAATTTGACGAACACCATTCGGGCTCCCCTGTGTTGCTGCTTTCCAGATACCAAAATGACCACAGCTCCCGGCTTCAGAGATTTTCGCAGAGTGATGGCTGGATAAGGACCCTTCTTCTTAGGTTTTTTAGCAGGTCTCACTGAGTACTTCTGTTTCTAAGAAAAAAGAAACGTATACAACATTTGAAAAACGCCTAAAAATCTCAAAATACTACAGTTAGGTTTATCAATGACTAGTGGGAAACATACCATCATGCTGATCTTCCTCTGCAAAACAGTCATCTTCTTTTTCTTTTCAGTAGATGCAACTTTGGGTGCCATTTTTCAAGTGGGATCTGAAAAATAATTTGATCAAATATCATTGGCTAAGATATTTCTCCCTACTATATAACAATTGACCACGAAAGCCTACCAAAAATACTCTTCTAGCAATGTGAAAAATAGCCTAAATCAGTAGCGGAGGTATTAAACCCCCTGACGACCCAAAAATCCCCCTTTGTACTTTTTAGAGATATCTATTTGTGCCTGACAGACCCTAAAGTTTATCTAAAGGCGCCTTGAGGGGTAGCGCACGCCGAAAAATCGCGATTTTTAAGTTTTCCAAGCAGCTCCTAAAAATGCCTTTTTTGGCCTATTTTTTCAAAATTTTGTCTGTGGCGCAGAAAATTTGGTCAAATAAGGTCTTTATAGTGATTTGAAAGAGCTCATAAAAACAATTCGGTCGACCTTCAAAAAGGCCGACAACATTTTTTTTTGAAAATCCGCCCCCTCGAGAAAACCTAGATCCGCCCCTGGCCTAATTCGTTTTTGGAATCAAATCAAATTCAAATCATTGATATAACTAACATGATTCAGAAAAAACGAACAATTTTGGGAACTAAGTAACATACCAAATTTTTCAAAAAAAGGAAGTTAGTTCAACTAATTCGCTCAAAAATCCAAAAACTCCAGTCACTGAATTTTGAAAATCTATTAAAACATGGTAGAAAAAAAAACGCCCTGATTGATTCTTCACTCAGTTAAATATTTTTGTTAAATATTTGGGTGAGTTTTACATGTCATTATTTAAACTAGAGGCTAAGCTAAGCTCCATATGAACAAATCATAAAAAGAGGCGAATATTTTACAAAAAAGCTAAATTAGTTAATATTAGAGAATAGGGAATCGAATCGAATTTCTTGAATGTAGAAAACCTCACGCTTCAGCACTCTTAAACGCACAGCTGCCTTTAAATTACTCCAAAATGCGAGCAAAAATAATAATTTATAGAAAGTATTGATACAAATAGTATGCTTTCTTTTAATTTAAAGGTTTGATATAGTTTCCTTCCAATGTTTGAAATAGTTTCCTTCCTGCTTCTAATAATTTTGTTTAGCAACCCTTAGAAGTTTCATCAACTAGAAAGCATTATTTCTGACTGTCCTCTTCAACCTGCTTGAGGTTTACCAAAAAACTTACCTCAGAGACGAAGCGGAGCTTCGCATCACTGGCGATAGCACAGAAATAGCATTGCAAGCTAGCAGACAGGAAAGGAAAGAACAGTCACTAATTCCAAAGAAAACGCGAAAGTTTCGAAGAAACCACAATTAAAAAACATGAAAATGTTGTCGGTAGTGATGTTCTTTTTATGGAAAGCCTGTCCAGAAACACATTCGACGGCGTTTAATGAAAATTCAAAAACAATTATCAAGCGAAAAAAAGTTGTCATGAAAAACGTTGAACTATAAATTCTATTCTGAGATTTTTTAACAATTTGCGCGATCCGGAAGAAAGCATACAAAAAATTGTTTACCTCGAAGGACCCAAAAAAAGGTTAGTAGGCCGATAAAATATAAGCCAACATCAATTAGGCAGAAGGTTTTTCAGGCGAAAAATAAAACAAAAAAGGAAAATATACGAAGCCAAGTTTAGTAAAATTAAAAATTGCAGGACTAAATGAAAACATTAGAAGCAACAACAAGGAAAAATGCATGCGGCAAAAAATTCTAAGATGTGGCAACTAAGCCGACAAAGCATTAGCAAAGAAATTATAATCTGACATTTTTTGAAACGGAATATTTCCCGTTTGAAAACAAAACAGGTCCTGATCAGATTCAAACCGAGGATCTTTGACGTTCCAGGCGTATTTGTTACCTGTAGACTGAAAGTGCCGAGACGCTTAGAAATTAATTCAAATTATGAACTAAGATACCAATTGATTCAAAAGATTCTGCTAAACAAGTTGTAAACCCAGAAAAAATATCTATTCTGAGGTGATAACGCTTGCTTTAAAGACTAATTTTTTTGATAGCCAAAATTTTCGGTATGCTGCCACCATCACAAACTTCATCAAATCTTGACTAATCCTGAGATGGTACTTGACTAATCCTGAGATGAATTTTTCCAAAACGGTCAAAAATCTCGTATGAATCAAATCACATTTAATTTGGCTTCTGCTTTTAAGCCTTTTTTGAACCTAGTAAACGTTCCGCCAAAAGGCAAAAAACTATCAATACAATCAAAACTTTGCATTACAAGATATTGAATTTAAAAAAAACTCGATTTTTTTTTTGAAAAATTAAGCTGAAGTTACTAGAAAAAATTACACTGAAAAATCCATATATTTTTATCGAATGCTGTTAATTAGCAGCCTTAACAAGCCTTGAAAACCAATAAGCGAGCCGCAGCTAAGGCGACAAAAATTGGTTCAATTCTCGTTAAGTCGAAAACTAAACTGTAGCCATAAGAAAATTTCAAGCTACAAAACTAAAACTTCACGACACACCCCTCCTGAAACACGTCAAAGCATACAAAAATCGCTCTTGACACTACGCAAAATAAGGATTCAGCCAATATAATATGAGCTGAACCGTAATAAAAATAAACAAAGAAGAACCCATTTATCCAAAAAATAAATGAAATCAGCCAAAAATCACAAACTACCAGAAAAACTTTCAATTAAGCTAAAAAAATGTTTGAACCCAAGCTTTGAAAAAAAAAACAGTTAACAAAGAGGCGAAGTGGAATAAGCATCACTTGTACACAGAGGCGAAGATGCATTTCGCATACACAAGCCAAAATATTACCGATAACACTACTGGGAAAAACTAAATGAGTAAAACTTTGAGTCTACATATTTTCATGAGTGATGCACGCCAATTATGAGTCTACATAAGTGCTACGTGACGCCAGCCAATTATGACGCATTATCACTACCAGTCAATTTGAAAAAAAAAAGCAACTAACATGCATCAATTTATAGAGCGGACGCAATTTAACTAGTAGACGAAAAAGTTCATTAGAAACATCCGACCCTGCCCAGGTTCGAACCCTCTTATTTTGTTTCGGGATCATTTGCCTACCTCTACGCTACAGATCCACGATACTTTGAAGCTAAAATGCTATTTGTAATATAACAGTCTGTGTTAATATCCTTAGCATTTGCTGTAATTAATGCTAAGTTGGGTTGGAAAAAAACGGCGACTTAGGTTGGAAAAAAAAGATAGTTCACACTATAACACAAGCGAGGCTTGTGTAAAAACGTTACAAACATTATATGACAAGCTAGCAAACAAAAACAAGACAAAATAACTGAAAGTAAAAAAACGGTTCTTAACAAAACTTTTATACGTTTGATTGAAATTAATTTTTTGAGAAAAATGTTAGGAAAGCCAAATTCCAGTGTCAAACTGAGACGAAGCGGAGCTTTTCATCACTTGCGATAGAGACTGCAATCCAGGTTGACAAACTAAAACCACGCAAAAAAAATCATTTTTAAAAATGCGAGTTTTTTTTTCACATTGAGCAAATGATTCGATTATCACAAGTAAAAAAATTACAAATTTCCAAAAAATGGACAAAATTTGAAATTTAATTAGTGCAATCGCAAAGAATCAAATAGTCAACATTTTAAGAGAAGGCGCTGGTTATTGCTTTCTGAATAAAAGAAGAATGCAAATGCAAACAAAAATCAAAAAGCTTCCAAAAAATGTAAAACAAAAATAAAGAAAACTAAAAAAAGTTATATCACAAAAACTTCAGCCAAATTTCTCGGAACGAAATTACTCGCACATAGACGCAACACATTGAAAATGTTTTCAAGTCGGTAGAAAATGCATAAATCATAGGCAAACTACGTGTATTGGCAAAACTTTTTTGTTTATCAAAAAACTGGTCCTCGCCGGATTTAAAACAAAAAACGTTTCTATTTGCAGTCATATGCGTTGCCTCTCCGCCACATATTCAGTTTAACTCTTTTTTTTTTAGTTATGTGTACGGGGGTGTCAAACAATTTAATAGATTTTGTTGAACTGGTGGTTAACCTGAAAAACATCTATACTGCGAGTTGATAACGCTTAGTAATCGACATTGTGATTAAGAGAAAAAACGTTTAACACAGCAAAAAAATGCGGGATTCAAGCTGAGATATTTCAGTTGGCACAGAAGATCATTGCAGTATTTGAGTCCAGCGGAGCCTTAGTCGTCTCAAGCTCGAACGTCACCTCTGCACCAAGTCTGAAGAATAGGGAGTTGAATTTGATTTTTCTTATCAATTATGTCAGGAAACGATTGACTGATTTTGTTGGACAAGTTCTTAACCTGAAAAAGTCTTCGTGATGATTACCTGGATAGACGCACCTTGATGCAAAAAATGGAATGTCATCAGAGTTGAGCCATAAAAATTCAAAAAATCGATTTTCCACTAGAAAAATATCCAATACCCGATTATAAAACCCTTTCTCGCAAACACAAGCGAGAAAATGGCAAACAGTAGCTCTAAAGAGAAAATTTTAAGAAAAAAGCCTAGGCAAAAACCCCCAAAAAAATTTTTTTGCTATGTTTCAAAATGGAATGGATGTTTGCTTTAAACTTCACTTCGATTCTAGAATTGAACTTGCTATAAATATTATCCGTATTCAGCTTTCAAAAATCAAAGAAAAACACATCACCTTGAAGCTCTTTGAAATAGAAGTTGTGTTTGATAAACTTTGAGAAAACTAGATCAAACGATAGTTTTCAATTGGCAGCAAATCCGAAAATATAAATGTCTATTCGAAACCAAAATCCACAAGTACTTTGACAAGTTTTTGTGCCTTCCGAGTAGAAAACGATTTTGAATTGAACTTGAAGTACACAAAACTAACGGTACCAAAAAATGGCGTGCTCAAACCGACTCCTAGAAACAGTGCAACTTCAGTCGGCCAAAGCCACAGTTCAATTGTGGTTAGAGTAGTGGTGTTCTTGGAACAATTAAAAAGGTGCAAAGCGGTGTGTTGGGAAGTACAAAGGAAGCAGTCTGGCGGGACATTCAGGTCTATTCTGTTCAAGGGTTTAGGAAGTGACCATAGCCGACCTCAATTGGACAAGGGTTCGACTGGTTCCGCGAGGAAGGGATTCTTCT